GTGTTTACTTGGTTGGGTCTGAGCGGCTGTGGGACTGGCGGGTGACAAAGATTTGTCCTGACTGTGGGCAAGGCAGGAAAACTCTAGCTACAGTCAGAAGAGAGCCTTTGCCAGACTGCTTACATTTTTCTCTTAGTGGTATATCTTGGCAGGGCCCACTGAAATGTACCCACATCACACTTGGTGTTTGTTTGAAGACTCTCTGAATGGGCAGGATTTGGATAGAGAGGCAGGAATGGGGTTTTTCAGACCATGCAGGGACAAGTTGGAAGTTCCAACTGAACAAGACCTTTGCAGCTATTGCTTGTTAAAACTCTGAAGGCTATTACTTTTAACACAACACTACTGGGCCAGTATCATAAGATGCTAATCATTCCTACAAAACAGATAAAATTTAATTTGACGATGGATTCCAAGTAAGTGTAGCCCAAGAACTATGCTTTTCAAACTTCTTTGTTGCTCAAGTGTGTCTTAAGTGTGTGGACACTGAGGTGTTGTGGTTTGCATGAGAATGGCTCCCACAGGTTCATGTATTTGAATACTTGGTCCCCATTGGTGGAAAGGTTGTGGGGCATTGCCTTTTTGGAGGCAGTGTGTCCCTGGACATGGCCTTTGAGGCTCCAAAAGACTTGCATCATTCCCAGTTAGTTCTTTGTCTTGTCTTGTGGGTCAAGACATGAGCTCTCAGCTATGGCTACAGTGTCATGCTGCCTGCTGGCTGCCCTGGTATCAGATAAGAGGTTTTATACAGACCCTATCTGACAAAGCCAAGGGATGGGCAGGTGGGATCCAAGCAAAAGGGTTAAATTAACTTGGAGAGTATGGAGAAAAAGATGTGTTCATAAGGGCCTCACACTAGAAGCAAGAGTCCTTCACAGGCTACATCCACTGAAGGATGTGAAAATGGAGCAGCTGGAAAATGATATAAACCCAGTGCTTGCACTTGGCCTGGGGTTGGGGAGAGATAGCAGAAAAACATAAGGTACCTCTCCAGTAAAGTCTGTAGACACTTCCTTTGAGGATGAAAGACAGAGAGGAGGAATGATGGGAAAGACATTGGAGGAATCCCCATGACACATATGAAGTCCACCTGATCCTCAGTCTGCTTCTATCCTGTGTATATGCTCTCTAGTCCCGCCACCTCTGTCCCTTTCTACCTTCTTCATCAATTTACCTTTATATTATAGTCACTTCCTGCTATGAACTTCACTCTCCCCTAGTCTTAAATAAAAAGAAACTACAAAGCTGATTGGGAATGTTCAAAGGAGGCAGGTTCGCACTCCTCAGGTCTCTAGTTTAACAATCTTTTGCTAGTGTTGCACAATATTGCCATGTTCAGAACCTTTAAGACACAAAGACTTCCAGCAAGGAGAAAACTGATCCTCAATGTCTAAATAGGAGAGCAGCCTGAAGGCCCAGGGCCTGCCCATGGCCATGTTCTCTGGTTCTGGATCATCCAGAATCCACTTTTTCCAACTATGCAGTGCCTTTGATGCTGTCTCAACTGTGATTGTTCCTGCTGAGGCTCATCACAGATCCACCTGTTTCTTACTTGGTGACAAGAAAGCCCTCCCCATACCCATTCCGTGTTTACCATCCTCCAGGTCACTTACTGGATAATTCCTCCTTGTGTTTTGGAGTGAAGGACCTGAACAAAGCCCTGACCTCCTTCAGCTCTTTCTCCTGAGCCAACATGCGGATGATCCTCTGGCCCAGAAACCCTCCTGCTCCCGTCACCAGGCAGCTCCACCCCGGCATGGTCAACACAGGACACAGATCTCAGTGACCACAGGTGTGGTGTAATGTCACCCTGGGGAGGGATAGAAAGAGAAGTGCAATGGGTACAGAGTCATGGGGTTCCTACTATGATGACTTAGTAGAAAAAGATGTCCTCAAGGTGGTTCTTGAACATTTCTCTCATAACATCACTTCCATGATTCCAAAATGTCTGGGTCTTCTTCAACAAACAAGCAAAAGATCAGTTCTGCAGCAGACACCAGATGTGCAACCTCGAAGTCAGGTCAGCTCTGACACTGAGACACTGTCAGACCTCACATGTCAGGCTGTGCCCCAAGGTTGTCCCTCTCACATGAGACGCCACTTCCAAGCCTCAGACTGTCTTACCTGTGCTTCTGAGAAAGCGTGCACACACTGGGGTCCTACAATTCCTCACTGCATATGACTAATTCCTGTAGCTCCTCTTGGACTTCATCGACCAACGCTTACATCAGCTGATGCTGTTTCCTCAAACTAGAAGCCTCTGAGTCCTCATCTGAATAGATCTCAGCTGAACTTCTGCTAAAAACTAAAAGGTTAAAAGATTAAAAAGAGGTCTAGTTCCTGGTCCTCATGCCTTATATACCTTTCTGCTTCCTGCCATTACTTTCTGGGATTAAAGACATGTGTCACCATGCCTGGCTGTTTCCAGTGTGGCTTTGAACTTGCAGAGATACAGATAGGTCTCTGCCTCAGAAATGCTACAATTAAAAGTGTGTGTGCCACCATTTTCTTGTCTCTATGTGTGTCTAGTGGCTGTTCTGTTATCTGACCCCAGATAAGTTTACTAGGGTGCACAATATATTGGGGCACACAATATAGCCACAAACTTCCTATTAAGGATATTACAAAGGATATGGAGGAAGAAGAGCACAGGCTGAGGAATGACAAAGGGGAACAAGGCTTCTACCTTCTTGTTTGATGTGCTAACTCCAAGAATGTCTAACTGTTCAGCTACCCAGGATCTTAGAAGGCTGGGCCTTCCTGCATCAATTGAAAATCAAGACAATGTCCCACATGTCAATCTCATGTTGGCAATTCTTCAGTTGAGGTTTCCTTTTTTCAGATGACTCTAGGTTATGTTGGGTACAAGCAAGGGTAATTAAACATGGCCAAAAGAATATTTGCTCAGTGTGTTAGCTGTAATACTCCTGATTTCTTTCTCAGTCTATTCGTCATTTATATACAAGAGGGTTCCTGATTTATGTGAGTTAATTTGGTATCCTGCTACTTTGCTGAAGTTATCTGTAGGAGTTATCTCGTGGAATTTTTATGATCACCTAAGACTATCCTATTATCTGCAAATAAAGATATTTTGACTTCTTCCTTTTCAAGATGTATTTCCTTCATCTTCATCAGTTGTGTTATTGCTGTAGCCAAGACTTCAAATACTGTATTGGATAGTGATGGAGAGAGTGGACAACCTTGTCTTGTTCCTGATGTTAGTGGAAAAGCTTTGTGTTTCTCTTCATTTAAGTTGATGTTGGCTATCTGTTTGCTGTATATTGCCCTTATTCTGTTGAGTTATGTATGTTCTTTTTATTCCTGACCTTCTCTTCATTAAGTTGATGTTGGCAAATATTCCAGTGCAGGACTGTGGTAGAGGGAGCTAAGGTGCACAAATTTGGGGGAGGCAGAGAAGCCACACAGGGTTACAGCTGTCAGATAGTTCTCCCACCATCCTTAAAGCCTCAAATTGCACTTTTCAAGTGAGAAAATTTGCTGAATTCTGAGGGAAAAATTGAGTGGAAGCCTAGGAATTTGGATCAAACTTAGTAATGCTTCTGCTTGTGAAACAAGAGATCCCCCAGGAGTGTAACCTGAAGCAAGAAGTAGTTGAGAAACTACATTACAGGGAGTGGGATGAGCTGCCAGAAGGGACACTCCTAGAAGAACCTTGGTATAGATGCTGGGTTTTCATTTGATGATAAAGGATGGTTCTCCCACCACTATACCTTAAAAAAACTTTGTTTCTTTATTTTACATGCCAGCCACAGTTTCCCCTTCCTCCTCTCCTCCCAATCCTTCCCCATAACCCCTCCCTGTTCCCCCTACCCAATCCACTCCTCCTCCATTTCTGTTTAGGAAAGGGCAGCCATCCCATGAATATCAGCAGAGCATGACATATGGAGCTTCCCTAAGACTCAGCACCTCCCCATATATTAAGGCTGAGCAATGAGGAGTAGGGTCCCCAAAGGCAGTAAAAGGGTCAGCTTCCCTCTTGCTGTCCCGCCCTCCATGTGCTCCTCTCTCCCCTTTTCTCTTATACAGTACAGTGATTAATTTTTCCACCATAGACTCCAGGTGGCCTCTGCTTCTTGATTCTCATCATGATTTTGCAACTCACTCACCCTAAGCAGTACCTTCAATTCACATTTACATTTATGTTAAGAGCATTCTGCCTCTTCCCTCATCTTCCCTTCTTGTACTAGCTATATGATAAATCCTGTGTCTACTGTACTTGTTTTTCTGTTTATTCAATAAGAATTGCCTACCTGATCAGATACTGTTGACATTGAGGTGAAATGTGTCCCCTCAGCACAGAAACCAGGTGAATGGCACTCAATGTATGTATAAGGACAGTGCAATTAGCTGTGAATAACACATGGAGGTGGTAAAGGGAGAAGCTTTGTGGAGTGGGTAAGGAGTTGAGAAGATTGCCTTAGCAGAAGACACATCTGTCACTTCCTCTGTTCGTAAATTGATACCTATTGTTTACACATATTGGGAGCCAAATCTGAGAACATGAGTGAGTCCCCCAATTTCAGATTCAAGCATTTATCTCAAGGGCCTTTCAAGAGCCTTTCCTCTGAAAGACTCCAAACTCTCTCACCCCTGTCACGAGAAGAAAGGAGAACAGAAAACAGTTAAAGATATTCAAGACATGGAACCCTCCAGAACAGATAGAAGAACCATTGGCAACAGAGGTAATTGCTTGTCTCATGGTGAAAAGATACCTACTGTGGGAATAGCAAATGGGAAGCTCACCCATGTAACTGGAAACCTCACAAGGCAATAACTGTGTAACAAGTATTAGTTACTTTGTATTGCTGTTGCAAGACATCACAGCCAGAGTAACTCATAAAAGACAGCATTGAATTGGACTCACGTTTTGTTTCCTGGGGTTGGAGATCAGGACGGCAGCAGGCACAGCAGACAGCTCCCTTCTTGATCCGGAAGCACGAAGCAGAGTGCCCACTAGGAGCAGCAGCTGTTCAAAGTCCACCTCAGAGACACCTCCTCCAACAAGGCCATATATCCTAATGCTTTCCTCACATTTCCACCAAAGGGGACCAAGGATTCAAGCATGTGAGTCTATGAGGTCATTCTCATCCAAAGGCCACCAATGCTGTCAAGCTCCAGCAAGACTGTTTCAGCAGGGCCTCCCTGGTCATTTCTGTCAGTGTTTTAAGAACCTTATTTGAGATTACATTTGCTTTCTCTCCTACTTGGGCTACTCTAGTCATTTCTGATGGGTAGTGTAAGGCACTGGTTTGATGATTTTTTTCCTTGTCTTTATGCCACTTCTCCCTGTCTGCTACTTTTTATTTGTAATGTTATTTTGCTAGCTATATATTTAATAAAAAGCCACTGATTCAATACTGAAAGGATAAGTATAATAGACCATTTTTCTATACGGCACATAATTCATGCAATTTTCAAAATCCAGTATATGCTGTTTCTATTTTTGAAGATGTTATTATAATAAAAAGGAAAAGGTGAAAATAAGAGTTAAAGAAAAGAGTGTATCTGGCCATTGCCACTGTGAGGCTGAGTTCAGAACTTGACAAGTGAGCTGGGGATGTGATGGGATGAGTGGAACCTCACCCCATGGAGACCTGGCCTCTCATTCTCAGTGGGTAGAAAAACAGTGGGAATAAATGCCTTTTGCATTCAAAACTTCACTAAAGGGTTAACATTTAAAGGTTTTGGGCTCTTTTTTTGCTTTTTTTTCCATGCTTTCTCCTAATAACAAACAGAGTTCACTGTTCATGTTTATTTTGGAGTTCCTTTGTGTTAGCTGGCACTAACCCAATGTCACCTCTTGTAAAACTCAGACTTTTGTTCGAGAAAATCAGTGTGTGAGAAAAACATTTAATGAAATCTATGCAACAATTAAGTGTGCATACCTAATTGCAAAACTCTTATACTTTAACAGCTTTCTGGGCAGATAATCTTAATTTCTTATGTGATGTCACACATGCAATTTAGTTTCAATTCTTTTTAAAACTATTTTATTGATTCTTTGGAATTTGATACCTAATATTTTGATCATATTTATGTCAAATCCCTCCCCTTAACTTTGCCCAGATTCATCCCCACTCAACACATCAATGGATGGAATTAGAAAAAAAGTCATCCTGAGTGAGGTAACACAGACCCCAAAAGACAAATATGGCCTGTATTTGTTTATACTTTAGCTGTTATGTCTTTGATAAGCAGGCTATGATCTATATAACCACAGAGGTTAGGTATAGATAAGGAACTAGGGGTGAGAGAGAAGGAATTCCCTGGGAAGGGGAAATAGAACAGATAGTTATGGATGAATGGGGAGGGATGGGAAAGGGAGGATCAAATGGGGAGGAGAGGAAAGAACAGGCAAGGGAGGGAATACTGGGAGGGATGGCTAAAACTAAGTGCCATTTGAAAGGTCATATGGAAACCTAATACAGTGGAAACTTCTTAAAATACAACTTGTATAAAATAATTCTAAATTGGAATCACGAATAACAGGGGAGACAAAGCCCCAACTAGACATCTGTTACCACCAAATGAATGTTGAGTGCTGGAATGGATTACATCTAATCTAATTTGGTTGTTGGCCAAAGGGACCCCATCACAACCCCTAATTAACCCAGGCTATTGCCAAGGCTGTTGGTTGTTCTCCACAAACTGATGGTAAGGTCTTACTGTTGAACAGCACTGTCAGACCTGACATGTCAGGCTGTGCCCCCAGGTTGTCCCTCTCACATGAGATGCCACTTCCAAGCCCCAGACTGTCTTACCTGTGCTTCTGAGAAACCGTGCACACACTGGGGTCCTTCAACCCCTCACTGCATATGGTTAGTTCCTGCAGCTCCTCTTGGACTTCATGGACCAATGCTTACATCCATTCGCTTCTGTAGCACAAATTTTAAAGGATCTTATAAATGAAAACAAACCCAGAGCCAGGTATTGGGGTAAAAGCTGAATGATCAGAGAAACAGAACAAGCCACAGCTACCCTCGCCTTGCCAACGTCTCAGCTGACCCTGTTTCCTCAAACTAGAAGCCTCTGAGTCCTCATCTGAATGGATCTCAGCTGAACTGTTGCTAAAAGCTAAAAGCTTAAAAAATTAAAAAGAGCTCTAGTTTCTGGTCCTCATGCCTTATGTACCTTTCTGCTTCCTGCCATCACTTCCTGGGATTAAAGGTGTGTTGTGGGAGTCCACAACTGACTCAGTTTCCCAGTTTGAATCTGAAGTCTATTCTGAGACAATGGAATTCAGGCTTGTTTGCTTCAAGGCTGTGAGAAAGTTCTGATTAGCCCAGAAAGTCTTATTAAAGGGCTGTGAGAACGTCCTGATTAGCACACAAGAAGGAATACACTAGCTAGCTAGATGCAGTCTGCTGATGCCAGCCAGAGGTATATTGAGATAGAAAAAGAAACTGTCTGGTTCTTGACTCAAGCCAGGATAGATAGTGGCTGAATGCCTGTGCTGTGTTGTTCTACCTCTGTCCTTCAAAACTGTACATAAGCTGGCTGTGAAATAAACTCAGGTCTGTCCTGCATTGACCGGCAGACCTCCCAACTCTTTTCTGTCTTCTTCATTGTCTCTTCAATCTGTATGTCTCTATCCAGCTACCCAGCTGACTATCGGCTGGCTCTGACAGCTTGTGTCACCATGCCTGGCTGTTTCCAGTGTGGCTTAGAACTCACAGACATCCAGATAGATCTCTGCCTCCGGAATGCTAGGATTAAATGTGTGTGTGCTGTCATTTTCTGTCATCCATGTCTGTCTAGTGGCTGTTCTGTTATCTGACCCCAGAAAAGTTTATTAGGCTGCACAATATATTGAAGGGACACCATATCACCCCAAGTTTCCTATGAAGGATACTATAAAGGATACGGAGGAAGCAGAGCACAGGCTGAGGAATAACAACAGGGAACAAGGCTTCTACCTTCTTGTTTGATGTACTAACTCCAAGAATGTCTAACTGTTCAGCTACCCAGGATCTTAGGAGGCTGGGCCTTCCTGCATCAAGACAATACCCCTCAGGTCAACCTGATGTAGGCAATCTTCAGTTGAGGTTTCCTCTTTTCAGATGACTCTAGGTTATGCTGTGAACAAGCAAGGGTAATTAAACATGGCCAAAAGGGTATTTGCTCAATGTGTTAGCTGTAATACTTCTTGT